CAACCCTAGGCGGCCTGGTATTCCTCGCCCACAAAGGACTCGCACCCGTAAGCCATTGCGCGTCCCGCGCGTCGCTGACCTCATCCCGCGTGTGCCCCGTCGCGCCATGCACGCGCTCCCTCATCCGCACGTCGTCCCGCTCGTGAGTGGTCAACACGAGAGCCTTCCTCCAGTTACTAGCTTGTGCACCACGCCCCTCGTCCCAATCGTCCATCGCTGGTTCGACCCCTATGCCAGCCTCCTTTCGCTCACGACTTCGCCGCTCACATCTTTCGAGCCCTTTGCCTCTCGCGTGGTCGAACCGCACGCGAGCCCTCGTTCGCGAATCGCCCGACCTCTCCGCTAAGTCCTCGTCATCGTCTCGCTGGACCGTCTCGCGCGCGCCCTTCTTTGCTCGACCTGGCCTCGCGCGGCTTGCTCCTACGTGCCTCATCACGCGGTCCACGCGTATCGCTCGCCTAAGTGTCGTGTGACATACTCGTGCACAGCCATCACGAGCCACCTTCGCATAGTCTCGGTATGTCGATCGCCTCAGCCACATATGCGCCGACTCGTGTCGCGCACGTCTCCTCTCAGCGCACCCATGTCGCACTCTCGCGCGCATTGCGCACCTTTTTCTCTTGCGTACGCGTGTCTTGATCGTCGACTTGCGTACTCTCCTACGCCATTGCGCACGTCTGCACCCTCGTATACGGGCTCGTACACGTCTCCTTAGCCATGCACGCATTGTTTCGGCCCTTTGCCCGGCCTTCTCGGGTCGTCTCGTCCCACGTCCGTGTGCATCCTCGGGCCTCGAAACCCACATCTTCATCACTGTGGTGCCTCACGAGCGCTAGACGCGGGCACAGACAGAGGCACTGCCTGGCCTCTGTGACACGGCATGGGCACGGCACGCGCGACTGGCGCGGCTGGTGACCCTAGGCGGTCCTTTGCCGAACTTCCGGCAACTTATTCCGGTGACTACTGAACCAACCCAACATAATATGACATATTACACTTAAAAATGTCAAAAGTCACTGAGGGACCTCGGTTGGATTTGGAGATGGGCTTATGGGGCCGATTAGGCACGAGGCCACACTAGGTCACCAAAATGAACATACTTAACATGCAAATTGACTTAGGGCCGAATAATCTACATCAAAAATCAATGCTATTGTGGCTAGGACATTGGCTATAACATGCATGCATATAGACTTGGGTTCGGATGTGAAAATGGCTCAATTCCACTTAACAAATTAACCGAACATATGAACTTAAAGCATGCTAATCTTTTAACCATGTCATACTCATGATTTTTGAGGATTTTTAAGCCATCAAACTCGGCCATATCATGCATGTACAATGACTTACGAAATTAGGGCTCAATACTTCAAAAATTCAAATCTTCTTATTCTCATGTGCATGGCCTCATTTTTATACATGATAAATCTTAAAATGTCATGTATAAGCTGGGAAATTGAAGGATATGAGCTTACCTTGCTCAGAATTCGAAATGGTGCTAAGGACTCCAACACGGGCTTCACTCGCGGCCTTGGTCCTTAGGTTCGACTTCGGGGCTTATTGGTTAAGCGAGGTGAGCTCTAAAGACTTAGAAAAATCCAAAATAAACTTTAGAAGATGATAAGCCTTGAGAGACACGGCTGGTGCAAGAGAACTCGCGGCCTTCTCCCTCTAGCTCCCTCTCACGCGCGCGTGGCTAGCCTTGGGCTTACTCTCGGTTTTCTCCAACTTTCCCTCAATATACTTAAGTGTTTGATGTGTCCAAGAGTTGGGAATGAACTGAGGATGACCCTTATATGGAGAGAGGGGCGGAGCAACCAAGAGGCAAAAATGGGGACAAAAGCTCCACACATGCGCATGGGGAGATGGGGAGCCTTGGGCGTGGCAAAGTCTTGGTCTCACCACCTGACTTGCACGGAATTTTGGAGCATCTTGCAGGGCATATGGCTAAATGGAGCAGGCTTGGTCGGCTGGGGCACATGAGGACAAGGTTCCCAACAATTAACAATGCACATGAATGTCCACTCAACATTAAAATAATGCCAAGGAATCTTGGACCTTCTTAATCCATCATAGGGCATAATTAGGCTTAAATAATCCCTCTAATACTCCAGATAATTCGCATGGTATAGGGCCAAAGAATTGGGCTCGAAAAACTCATGCTCTGGGCCAAGAAACCACTCAGACATGGGCTAGGCGCTGGGCCTAGGCGCGCGGCCTGCTGGGCGCGGCTCTAGTGTGCACGGGCTGAACAATGCTTGGCCGAGGGTAACACTTGATTAGGGCTGAACTTGTGGTTCATCTAAGGAACCAAAATACTTAGAAAAATATGCCATCAATACTAACCATGACTTGGGCACTTGCACTCGGTGAAGCGCGCGGCCTAAGGGCGCGGGGACTCGAACCACGGCACGAGCTCGGTGCGTGGTTCCTCTCGACCGAGTGACTTGACCAAGGCTCGATAAAAAGATCTCATACTTAGAAAATATTCTATGTAAGGCTATGAGCACGGCTAGGGCTCGAACAAGACTCGAGACTACTAGGGCTCAAGAATTGGCTAGGCGCGAACTAGGCGCGATGCTCGTGACCGAACGACTCGGTTCCGGACACGGTTAAACTTGGACGGTTTATCGAAACATAATCGGTTTCGATTATTCGTCAACTCGAAATAATTAATTCCGACTGAATAAAATTCATTGCTAAAATAAATGGACCGGAATTAATAACTGAGATTGAATAGCTGATAACTGGGCTCGAAACTCAAGATGAGCAGTATTAATAAAAAGAAATAGTTCAACTTGGAACTAAAAATTGTCATTTTTATTAATACAGAACTGAGCTATTACAGATGTTGTACTAAAGGTCATCTTGTTTGAGTTAGCGCATATACAAGGGGAAATGTCTAAACACTAATTTAACTATACTACTTACCTATGTATCGTAAAGAAATTTATATTTCATATTAGCGTCCCAGTACAGGTAGGCTTAACTTTTTGCTTCAAAGTTTGGTTCATTGACTACGCGGCAAGACACGGTAAGTCAAATAAAACTTCCCAACTATCAAAACTTTGAACAACAATTGATAATGGTGTTCAATTGTCCCCTCAAATTAAAGCAGGCATGCTTTTGACCATATTACGTGACATGACGACTGAATGCAGGGCTACTAGTAGGCTAGCTTTTCTGCAAAGTATACTAGATTGGACTACATGGTTTGACGACTGCAAACCCCACTAATGCACTGCACTCAATGCATGACTATTGCCAGACGTAAGCTTTTGTTCAAAGTGTACTTGATTGAATTCAATGCATGCCTACTGCACACCCCACTACTCCTGAGAAGATTTGAAAAAACGGCAACCCAATTACTGCACATCCCACTGTAAAGTTGAGTTGAAAGGACTAAACGGCTACAGTAATGCACATTGCACTGCAAAGCTTAGTTGATTGGACAAAAGGGGTTAAGCTTTGATATCAGACAATGCATTATTGAAGCTCAACCATGAATTTCTCCTATTTAAACACCCCATTTGACACGAAAGCCATCCACAAGACAAAGAGGAAGCGAAAGTTTATAGTTTGAACAAAATTTCAAAAAATATTTTTAGCTTCTTAAGCTCAAACTTTTGCAATGGCTCCTTCCTTTGGTGTAGTGCAGGCTGATTATCTGTACGACCTCCACTGGACCCCAAAGATGGACGAGTTTTTAATTGATTACTTGCTTGATGAAAAGCTTGTTGGTCTCTTTGTTCCTTTTACAAGCTATAATGAACGGATTGGTGATGCTATGAGGGCGTTCAATGGGTGGTTTACCAAAAGTTTCACGTCGGAGTACATAAGCTCACGTATTGATGTTTTAGCCAAAAGACACAACATTTTAACAACGCTTAAACAAACTGATGGTGTTCAGTATGATGAGTCCAACAACGTGTACCATGCTTCCGACAACAAATGGTATCAGTTGATGAATGTGAGCTTATTTACTGTTTCGCTTCATTACAATACGTTTTTCTTGGAAACTAAAGCAATTTTTCATGTGGACATAGTGGGATGACTTCGCCATAGCTTACATGAAGGAAGGTGATCCCCAGCATGGGAAACTTGTTGAGTTGTTTCACGTGGAGGCGCCATACAAGTCTCCATTCGAGTATCATATTCTATCTGACAGTGACAGTGAAGGTATACATGCCAAAAGTGGTCGCGACAAAGGTGTGCAGATTATAGATGTGGATGACTACGTTCCAAAGTCTACCCCAAGGAGTAGGTTAGTCTCGTACCCAGTTCGAACGGACATCCCCCGCAAAAAACAACCACCGCGTCCGGCCTTTTATATGGGTAGCAGCTCAAAGGCCCTGAAAAAAAAAAAAAGAATTCAATACATAGCCAAACGGGATCAACTGATGGATCTGTCAATCAGCCAGAACACTACAACTCGTCTAAGAGTCATCCCGATGAAGCGGATGCAAATTCTGTGTCCACTGCATGTTCTGCCACCCCTATGAATTACTCGTTTGATTGGTCGTGGTAAAACCTCCGATAATGTATCATTTTCTTTTATGTTCGTAGTTGTGTGTGAGTCAATGTCGTCCTACTTTAATGTTTATGTTTCTGTCATATGCGATGATTCGTAGTACGCTTTGTTTGGATTGTGTGGTCGTTCGAGGTTCACGTTTGTTATGGTTTGGTTGGAGTGAGTAATGTTTGTTTGTGTGGAATACTAATGTTTGTTTTGTGCCTACCATCGTGCAATGCTTACGTGCGTTGTTTGTTCATAATTTAAATCTATCATTTTTTGTTCACTTCTTGCCATGAATGTTAGGATATAACAAAAAAAAAAAAAACATAAATGTTGAAACCTAAACAAATGTGCAACCATAAACATAAACCATTACCAACCAAACGTTAAAATTACGTTAACCACATTCTAGTTTCCAACATTGACATAAAAGCAAACAACTCCAAAACATACTTTGCAACATTATCCACACAAATTCATACCATCATCCCCAAAACAAGTTTGCAACATCAACCCCAGGTGCACACATTCTAGACGTGCACGCTCCACACAAGTTCATACCATCATAACACTTCCACTACATTTTGACTTTGAATTTTATGACATTCATCATGTGGGAGGAGAAATAACGTACAAACATCACCTACGACAATGTTGTTGTCATCGATGAACTGCCGAGCACGACCATTCTGAATAAGTTTCTTCCTGTGCCCCTGGATGACATCAACCTCATACCTATTGTCCCCAACATGCAGTATTGCACTTCTGTAGTTCGGGTACTGCCCTTGTACATAATCCCTCCAACATGACATTGGGATAGCTTAAAATACAATAGACGTCAAACACCCAAATATAAGATATGTATTTTTATTAAAAGTAAAATATTATATCAAAGAACATACAGACGTGCACCCTCCAAATGAGTTGGCTTGATTTCGAGATGAAACGTGTGGTGTGGTAGCCTCTCACGGCCGTTGGGCTCAAGCACGGTCACTTCATAGTCGAAGATGGTCCTTGGACGAAAAACCAAGAAGTACCCCAGGGTTATGTCTTCTGTGAGAATGAAATCTCTCCACCCGTCCATTAAAGTTGGGCAGTTATTCACCATTTTCAGTGTCGTGTGGTATGTACGCCCCTCTGCGGTTTGGATAGTGCATGTTTGTGGTAGCACCACTCCACGGTAATGGTGTTGTGTTGCAGGGCGGAATACCTGCAAAAAAAAGATGTCACATTTTCTAAGGTAAATACAATATATAGGTTGAACTAAAGAAAGAATAACGCAGCAAGAAACTCAAGTAAACCTACCATGTGATGGAGCGTACGAAAGTGTACTGCCTTGAAAAAATGAGGACCCTGCCCGTCAACATCCATGTTGTCCATCCTTCCTAAAATCTGTCATAAAAAAAAATACATGTATATAAAAAAAAGGATAGTCGCATAAACAAGCATAACACCTTTCCGTTGCAATAATACATTAATCAACACATAATTATCCGTCAATACTGAACAAATAAAAGTCGGACTACCAGGAACATGTCAAAAGAGTCGAGTCTTAAAATGTAACGCCCCCTTTTATTTTAAAGAATTTACCGAATTTATTTAATAAAAATCAGAGTTTTTCTTTTAAAATCCAATTTAAAACATTTATCGAGAAACGGTCGCTACTTACTAACATCAAATGAACACATCCAATCAATCAATCCAAAGAACTTACACATGCTTGAGCTATCAAAATAAACAATCTCATAAAATATAAATCTCAAAATCATTCCCAAACGTCTAGCATGAATCAAGGTTCAAACGAAACTCGAACATAGTTCGAAGGCGAATAAATAAATAATTCAAAGTATTGAAAGCAAATAAATAAGCAACAAGTTCATGCGGAAGCATAAGATATCATCAAACAGTGACCACCATCTCGCTCGTCCTACGCCACCGCCTCCAGCTCGTCTCAACCTAAAACAAAGGAAGAGAGAAAACAACAAAGAAAATAATGGGGGTGAGCATAACCAACAAGCTCACCATTATCGCACAGTATATCTCGCATAACATTTTAAACCATCATACCCATAGTATTCAGTATGCATAGAATCCAACAGTCTAACTCCCTACTTGGCCCTATCGCAAACCTCCTATGTACATACAACAACCTTCCGATCACACACGGCAAGGAAGTAACTGGAAACCTTCCCATCACCGAAGGGCTACGGGCCTGGGATCCTTTCCAGGAGACAGTAGAGATGTTTTTCCCATTCACGAATATCATACGGACCTGGGCATCACCTCTCCGAATCTACGGGCCGATGACCTCTCACTGTTTATGCATTCCTCAAAGGCACTAACATACGGGACACTTAGACTAGGGTTCTCACGCATACATCATTTTTCAAAACAAAGCATTTATACGAAATATTAAGTGCGATAAATATGGAATACATCATAAATGTACCCACCTGATAGCAGCTACAGTTCAAAACACAAATCTCGAGACAAGGCGAGGTTCAACACCTCTCGACACCTACATTAAGTCCAGATACTAAAGTCAACACTTTAATCTAGACCCATTTAGCAAATTCACAAGTTGACTTAGCCGAACTCGGTTCGACCAAGTGGTTCGTGAAGTTCTGTGGATATGGGAACTCTAGGACTTAGACTCGATCAAACCACATATTCAAGTTCACATAAATTCAAGTGAAAGACAAACAAATGAGCCACAAGTAAACACATGGAACATTTGGTCATCAACACTTAACACATTTCAACATAGAAAAACAATTTCTCAAATTCACACTTGAATTAGAAGGCATATCAAATCAATGAGTTAGGTTCTCAAACTTTTACATAAAATTTACATCCCAGTTCTAAGAAAATTTCAGCTTCCAACTCATTGTACATAATTTTATAAAATTCAAACAAGTTTTTCAACAAAAACGAGTTTAAATTAAAATCACATGATAATGGACGATTCAAGCTATGAAATTTTTATCTAAAACACTATAGCATATGAACAGCATCACATAAATTTTCCAGCCTTCAACACTCAGGATATCAAATTTTAAAAATTAAAACAACATTCAGCCAAATATCGCAATTATATCAAAATTGGTCACAAATGAACTCCAAAAATTCCAGAATTTTTACAGCGTGCTAAACATCACATTATAAGCACTTATACAAATTTTCAGAAGTTTTCAGCTCCAGAACAATTTATAATAATTGAAACAAATTTCAGGCAGAATCACAAAATAATTTGTTAACCCTATCAAACCTAGTTCAAAAATTCTAAAACTTTTACACAACATATAATCAAGCCTGAAACATAACATATTCGAAAATTGGCCAGAAAGGAACACTACACAATTAGGTTTGACTTTCTTGTTATCCAAGAATAATACACACACGGATCCAAAAGGGAGAAAACCGGTTTTGGCTATTGGGCCGGTTTGATTTCGCGCTTGTGACACCAAATTGGCTCACGGGCTCAATTTCGGTTCAAACGGACATTCTCGGGCCCAATTTCGGTTCCAACAAAAATTTTCGGGCTCGATTACGATTCACGCGAACATTCTCGGACTCGATAAAATCGCACGTTAATATATTCGGCTCTCGGGCCCGATTCAATCACACGAAAATAAATCCAGCTCTCGGGCTCGGGTTCTCCGATTACTAATTTCGACAGTTCCAATCGATCGCACGATAAACAAACAAAACTCTAGACAATATAAATTAAATACGTACATTGATTTTAAAATACTAATATTATTAATCAAAATATACAATTGGCAATTAGACATATAATATTTAGACATTCAAAATGGCAAGCAATAATTAATATAACACAATAATAATAATAATAATAATAATAATAATAATAATAATAATAATAATAATAATAATAATAATAATAATAATACTTCAAATAAACCACAAATAAATGGGGCATTACAGTCTACCCTCCTTAAACGATTTCCGTCCCGGGATACTCCGTCCGGGGACAACTGACACACGAGAGAAGCTCAAACCACTCAACTCGGATACTCCGTCCGAACCTTCCCACTCTACCAAGTCACACCGCACTAGCCATGGTTACCCTGCCGGACTTTGACAAGTACCTCTTCCGGTACCTCGTCAAAGGTAAGGTTCTGCCCACATGCAGCTTGTCAAAGATCGCCTCGTGCCTAGAGTCACGCACATGTCCCCTCTCCACGAGGCACTGAACAGGTCGTGAACTCTTGCAAGCTCCGGTAATGGGGTCAACCGTCAGGCTAAGACGCCGACTCGGTCGAGAATCACGAAAGGACCAACAAATCTGGCTGATACTTCCTCTCTTCCTAGAACTCGAGGCGCACAACGCCTCTTTCCGTACTCAGAACCTCGTCCGGTACCATCGAGATTGTCACTCATAGCCATTGCTATAAGCGCACTTTCTTATGGTAAGAAATTCCACACGTCACACCCATCGAGTACACCAGACTCCAACCGGTCTTTCAGGGTCTCGACAGCATGTCCTAAACGCATAACTATCTGGATCTATACGCGGTGCCAAGTTCAGTCTCGTGCCCGGGTCACGCTGACGACTTGCCCACAATTTCAATGCGAATCCGTGCGTCCGTATCAGGCGGCCCGCCGCGGAATCGCATACAAATGGCTAACCAACATCAAAAACACCATCCTCAAAATTGATACCTTCAGAACACACGGTTCTGCTCGATATCGTTGACAAAGCCTCATTCCTTGCCGACACGAGTAACAGCTCGTATGCGGTTTAGGAAGTATCGACTAGACATTCGAAAACAAACTCTATCGCAGAAGCTGACTCTCAAATAGGGATGCTCGATGATCCCATTATAATGATCTAAAAAGACATGGCCAGTTTGGGGTTTAATGCACTGTCACCCGAGAGATGTCATACACACTGGCGCTGCATAAGCGGGGCGCTGAGACGTGTGCCTACATCTGTTCGGAGAACAGCTGCAAGGTCAAGGTTTCAGCCACACACTGGCTTGGGGAGCTCCTGCGTTCAGTAATGGTGGCTGCAGCTCTCGTGCGAGTCAACGATCGGCCCTGCAGTGCCTCACGTCTCTCAGCACGGGCTCGCGTGCTCGACCACCACTTCGCGTGACTACACCCAGTCAGCGTCGGCGTTCGGTTCGAGGTACAATAAGGATTACTCTAATTCAAAACTCGCACTATCTGAGGTAACCCGGAAGGAAAGGTTTTCACAAAACAAAGAAACATAAGAATAACAAAGACATCATCCCCCAGCATTAGGTATCGACAATCTCGAATGGTTCAGGGCTTCCAAATCATCATATTGAAAGAAAATGAATATCAGCATCCTCAGCTTAGGAATCATCCCCAACACAGTGGTCATTGCCGAACAGTGGAAATGATCAGCTCACATGACTCTTCCGACTAACAGTGTCGGTCGTCACGTCAGCTCTATCTCCAGTAGCTAGACGTGCTGGTAGTCCTAAACGAGCTTAATTTCTACGCTGCTAAGATTTTTCACGTTTCTGGATCTCATCTCGAAGCCTCCTTGGTTGATTCGTCTCGATCGCGTCTCGAATATAGGTCATCAACGATAAAAGAAATAAACACGACTAATCGATCCGGGTATGAATGAAGTACCCAGACGAAAAAAAAAAAAAACGAAACTGCTCGTCTTAATCAATATATCAGGTTGCAAATCTTGAAATGAAACTCCAAACAACAAAAACAAGAGTTTTCAGAGGATTGCCAAAGAGTCAAATAAAATACCAAGGTTCACTCTCGAAACTCCGAAGGGAAAAAGAACGAGAATTTTCAAAGATTTACGACGAACACAATTCAAAAACGATGACGACTCTACACCTCAGGATGTGCTGTCATCAGGCTCGACTACCCTCCTTAAAAGATTTTCCTATAACAAAACATCCCCATAAAAGGTGTCGAGGCTCCTCCCGATCAGGTATGCGACGATTCTCACGTACGCCACTTCGGTTCAAAGTTAAAATAGAACACGAAAGAAAATTGATCGCCGCCTATCTCGAAGCTAAGGTATTCTCAAGTTGACCTTCGCATCGACGTAGCGACGATACTGCACACGGTTTGATATCAGATAAGAACCAATAGAAACTGAAATTCGATGCTCAACTACATCCCAAAATTCTACGCAAGGAAAAGAAAATCAAGCAAATTTGTCACGGAACGAAAATCAAATAATTAGAATGGGTCACAAAATACGATTCAAACTTGACAACTAAGCGAAAGGTAGCAATCAAGGACAAAGGAATAGCAGTCGGGTAGCAAGGCGTGAACGGTAGGTTAAAGGCGAAAACGGATCAAGCTCGCACATTAATAATTGCTGCAAATTTCCAGAAATCTGATTGTACGAAGTTCGTATCTTGAATGCATCCCCTGAATGAATCTTGCGCCGTTTGAATCGTAAGAGACAAAACTACAATTCATATGAAGACATCAAGGTTCCAAGATTACCAGAAGCATGCCAAAAATAGCGAAAATAAAAGACTCCCACTGTTGCGATTTACACGAAAATAGCGAAAATAAAAGACTCCAACTGTTGCGATTTACACGAAAAAAACTGACTATGCAATGATCGGGTTTCTGGCGCAATTATCGATAAATAAAGGAAAATAACAAACACGCGATTCCTGTTCCTCATGGAAGGCAACAGGCTGATCTAAAATTTACAAGAAGACTTCACAAAGAAACGACGAGGTTTCAGGGTTTAAAAACAGCCATGGAAACAGATCACCCACAAAACCGAAAAATTAGAAGACTGGGCGCGCCCTCGCAAAACTTTGGCCACGTCATCCAACACGAAATTGATAATTGCTTGGTTCTTGTTCGAGATGAACATAAGAGATTGAACTTTAACTCATCTGAAGAGTTCAAAGTTCATCGACCGAGTTCAAGGGGTCAAAACAGCGACTAAATAGCCATCAATGAAAGGTTTTCAAAAAGTGGTTTTCCAACCCAACTCTTAAAAAGTACGACAATCACGAGACGAAGGTTCGGGTGACAAGTCAAGGCTCGAATTTATTCGATAACAACTCAGCCATAAATAACAAAAGAAGATGGTATCAACAACTCAACAACAGAGTTCTAATACCTACGAAGAATTTCGCGAGACAAACTAACAAGAAATACACGGATAATAACCAACAAATTATAACAAGGGGAAAATCAGCCATTAACCCGATTCCCACGAATCTACACGCACAAGTGGTCGGATCATCGACATGAAACCGACACTTAGACTCCACTCCCGGTTCCTATTGACCGGGTTCTACACGCGTCTAATAGTTCTAGCCACAATAGTCACAGACTTCCGAATAATCCACACATCTGGGACTTCTTCGTTTGTCTGTTCCCATTACTTAAGCCTTCTCTTTCGAGATAGCTTACAAATGATTCTCACTCGATGGCACTAAACAGAAACTCATAACGAGTGCGCTGCTATAGACCAAACTTAACTCGATAACACCAACCCGAAAACTCACAACAAACATTTCTAAAGTCGGCACTTAACTCTACACCACTAGAGTTCAAGTCCGAATAAACGGAGGGTAATTTCCTAAGCCCGAACAAAAGAACAAGCCATAATAACGATATCGATAATAATAAAAACAATAAAACTCATACCTTGAGCTGGCGCGGCGTGACGAAGCGAGTGGTCGAATGGTCATTAAACACTTAATCACATATGAACCAGTCTACAGAAAAGCAAGACTGGCTCTGATACCAAACTGTAACGCCCCGTTTTATTTTAATGAATTTACCGAATTTATTTAATAAAAATCAGAGTTATTTTTTTTTTTAAATCCAATTTAAAACATTTATCGAGAAACGGGCGCTACTTACTAACCACATCAAATGAACACATCCAATCAATCAATCCAAAGAACCTACACATGCTTGAGCTATCAAAATAAACAATCTCATAAAATATAAATCTCAAAATCATTCCCAAACGTCTAGCATGAATCAAGGTTCAAACGAAACTCAAACATAGTTCGAAGGCGAATAAATAAATAATCCAAAGTATTGAAAGCAAATAAATAAGCAACAAGTTCATGCAAAAGCATAAGATATCATCAAACAGTGACCACCATCGCTCGTCCTACGCCACCGCCTCCAGCTCGTCTCAACCTAAAACAAAGGAAGAGAGAAAACAACAAAGAAAATAATGGGGGTGAGCATAACCAACAAGCTCAACATTATCGCACAGTATATCTCGCATAACATTTTAAACCATCATAACCATAGTATTCAGTATACATAGAATCCAACAGTCTAACACCCTACTTGGCCCTATCGCAAACCTCCTATGTACATACAACAATCATCCGATCACACACGGCAAGGAAGTAATTGGAAACCTTCCCATCACCGAATGGCTACGGGCCTGAGATCATTTCCAGGAGACAGTAGAGATGTTTTTCCCATTCACGAATATCATACGGACCTGGGCGTCACCTCTCCGAATCTACGGGCCGATGAACTCTCACTGTTTATGCATTCCTCAAAGGCACTAACATACGGGACACTTAGACTAGGGTTCTCACGCATACATCATTTTTCAAAACAAAGCATTTATACGAAATATTAAGTGCGATAAATATGGAATACATCATAAATGTACCCACCTGATAGCAGCTACAGTTCAAAACACAAATCTCGAGACGAGGCGAGGTTCAACACCTCGCGACACCTACATTAAGTCCAGATACTAAAGTCAACACTTTAATCTAGACCCATGTAGCAAATTCTCAAGTTGACTTAATCGAACTCGGTTCAACCAAGTGGTTCGTGAAGTTCTGTGGATATGGGAACTCTAGGACTTAGACTCGATCAAACCACATATTCAAGTTCACATAAATGCAAGTGAAAGACAAACAAACGAGCCACGAGTAAACACATGGCACATTTGGTCATCAACACTTAACACATTTCAACATAGAAAAACAATTTCTCAAATTCACACTTGAATTAGAAGGCATATCAAATCAATGAGTTAGGTTCTGAAACTTTTACATAAAATTCACATCCCAGGTCTAAGAAACATAACCAAGTTTCAGCTTCCAACTCATTGTACATAATTTTATAAAATTCAAACAAGTTTTTCAACAAAAACGAGTTTAAATTAAAATCACATGATAATGGACGATTCAAGCTATGAAATTTTTATCTGAAACACTACAGCATATGAACAGCATCACATAAATTTCCCAGCCTTCAACACTCAGGATATCAATTTATAAAAATTAAAACAACATTCAGCCAAATATCGCAATTATATCAAAATTGGTCACAAATGAACTCCAAAAATTTCAGAATTTTTACAGAGTGCTAAACATCACATAATAAGATCTTATACAAATTTTCAGAATTTTTCAGCTCCAGAACAATTTATAATAATTAAAACAAATTTGGGGCAGAATCAAAAAATAATTTGTTAACCCTACCAAATCTAGTTCAAAAATTCTAAAACTTTTACACAACATATAATCATGCCTGAAACATAACATATTCGACAATTGGCCAGAAAAGAACACTACACAATTAATTATGCATTTTACAAGAAACTGAACAAAAAATAAATTAATTTTTAAAAATAGTTCCAGACCTTTAAAAATTACGACAATTTTACACACGCTATATGTTCATCAGTGACAGCTGCTCCTAAAATATCAAGACAATCGGACTAGTATTCAATTTATAATGAATTTTACATTCAAAACAGCCATTATAAACTTCGAAAAATCATAACGGCAAATATACACCTCCAATCGACACAAGGCCAATGCCATTGTGTTCGTAACAATCCTAAGTTCCTAAATCCATAGTAACTAATCACTTATACTCAGTTCTCGCTCGATTCGCACGAATCGACAAGTGTCACATAAAATAGCGAATATAAATACACAACGAACAATTCGAACACGCATATAACAATTCAACGAACACGAAATACACACATGATCACGACACAATTCATGTATAATTAAAACGAGAAGTCGAGACTCGATACCGTTCTCGGGAACGAGCGAGAAGGTTCGAACGAGAGAAGACGGCTCGACGGGGCTCGACGGCTTCGTGCGGCTCGCCGAGAAGAGAGCTGCGGTGGTCCTTCATGATTGCGGGGTTGCAGCGATGGCCGAGACGTCCCGTCGGAGGTGGTTCTGCGGAGGAGAAGAGCTCGCCGGGAAAAGGGGTTCGCCGGAAGGGGCCGTGACGGGCTTGCTGGTGGAGGAGATGCTAACGGCTGCCAGCTACGTCTTGGGCGGAGAAGGGGCTCGCGAACAGCGGCTCGCGGAAGAGGTCCTGCGTGTGGTGGAGAGAACTCGCCGGAAGGAGCTTCGTGGACGGGGAAAAAGGGAGCGGCGATGGCTGGCTCGCCGGACTGCAGCGGTTGATTCACGGCGTGCGAAGGAGCAGGGGAATTCGTGGAGAAGAACTCGCCGGAGTATGGTGGCGGGTCGCCTGCGCGCGGAGGAGCAGCGGGCTCTGTTGCAGAGAAGGGCTCGCGGCCTGGCTGTGGTGATCGGAAAAACGAGAAGGAGGAGAGCTTGAGGGTGGCGACGAAGGAAAAATCGCAGAGAACAGGTGATGGCGCGATCAGATTCTGAGCGAGAGGAAGAGAGATCAGCAGCGAGTTCCTTGCGAGAGAGAGATTGAGAGCGAGAGGGGCGCGATTTCAAGAGAGAAAAGGAAGTTGCGGGTTGTTTGTTCAGAGAAGGGGATAGATATAGCATTTATATATATATACACAATTAGGTTTGACTTTCTTGTTATCCAAGAATAATACACACACGGATTCAAAAGGGAGAAAACCTTTTCTCAAAAAAAAAAAAGGGGGAGAAAACCGGTTTTGGCTATTGGGCCGGTTTGATTTCGCGCTTGTGACACCAAATTGGCTCACGGGCTCAATTTCGGTTCAAACGGACATTCTCGGGCCCAATTTCGGTTCCAACAAAAATTTTCGGGCTCGATTACGATTCACGCGAACATTCTCGGGCTCGATATAATCGCACGTTAATATATTCGGCTCTTGGGCCTGATTCAATCACACGAAAATAAATCCAGCTCTCGGGCTCGGGTTCTCCGATTACTAATTTCGACAGTTCCAATCGATCGCACGATAAATAAACAAAACTCTAGACAATATAAATTAAATACGTACATTGATTTCAAAATACTAATATTATTAATCAAAATATACAATTGGCAATTAGACATATAATATTTAGACATTCAAAATGGCAAGCAATAATTAATATAACACAATAATAATAATAATAATAATAATAATAATAATAATAATAATAATAATAATAATAATAATAATAATAATAATAATAATAAAAATAATAATAATAATAATAATAATAATAATAATAATAATAATAATACTTCAAATAAACCACAAATAAATGGGGCATTACAGTAAGCCACATTAAAACGCACACATACATTATAAGTCTTAACAGGCCAAATGAAAACCAACACATCAACACATCGCACCACCATTACAAGTCTCAAATAAGTTTTAATTGCTCAAAATGCACAACAAAGTGTTCACATTACAATTGCCCTACAAACGTCCTTCTTGCATCATTTTCACCATGACAGCTTTATTGTCCGTGGTGAGGTTGAAAAACATCGAGAGCTCATGTGGGTTCTTGCATAAACGCATGGTAATAACCATTTTATCCTCAGTTGAAAGGAAATGCATGGTAGACAATGAATCAAACACTTCATTCCTTTTCTTCTTGACATCATGCTCAAACCCAAGCCTCGATGCAATGCCATTCAAGCTGTCCTTTGTACCCTGAGAAAATGATTGCATTATATCTAGAAAACGCTCCTCCCACTGCCTCTCTTCTTTCCTTTTTCTCCCTTTCTTTCTCTTACCTGCCCTTGAACCAGACTCAGACACTGTAGCAGAGGTGTTACCCATCCCAACGCATGGGCTTCCATTAGAGCGGTTAGGACCTGATGGAATCTCCTCATTATTCGAGTTCGGGCTGTCATGAGTAAGTTGTACTGGAACTTCGTTAGCTGCATCATCAAAGGCTTGTGCATTTTCGCCCGTTGCTCTGTCTTTCCCAAAGATTTCCGCCCATTCATTGATGAAAGGGAAAGACTTGTGCCTAAGTGTTTTCGCATTTGGGTCAACCTACATTATGGAAATACATCGAATGGACATTAATGTTAATGTGATTGTTATTTATCTTTTGTATTCAATCATCGAGGTGATGTTTGGTTGGGACTATTACCTACCCAATTACTCCAAACTTGATCATCACAGGAAAATGTTTTTGTCAACTTGCTCCACCCGAAGCCTGAATTACCTTTGATGAGTGACACACTCATGTAGTTCTTTCTCCACACATGTATTTTTGAGCTTATGTAGGGGTCTGCACGAAGGGTACAATCTGGGAATTTCAACTTCAATCTTCTGTCAATCTCAAAATTGTAGCCTTGCCTAAACCCATTATCTGCCTTCCAACTCTCGTTCACCATGTCTTTCAAAATATCCACTAGGGAAGACTCCTCAGCCCGACTCCAAGTATGTCGTCTCGTTGATTGGGAGGAGGAAGGTCTCCCAGTTTCCTGGCTACACGAATAGTCCATGATGATGGTACCTGCTCGTACAATAGTTATGCATGACAGGATTGGTTTTTCATTCGCAAGATAAAGGTATTGCATAATAAAGAAAATAAATTGTAAAGACAACATTTGGGAAATGAAGATTAGATATCAGGCTGCCAGTTTTGAAGTAAGATTCCACAATGCATTTATAAATCCCATAGTCAAATTCAAATCCAAACACGCACATGGAAAACTATCGTCAATGGAAAAAACATGAAACAACAAATAGTGTAAACAAAGAAAACAAGTCGTCGGTGATCGTAGTCAAACAAATGTTCTTAAACTAAAAAACATTATGATCCCATTCATTAAACATATCATGTGTCAATCGGTCACGGAACTGTGTCCATTCAAGGCTACACTCCACCTAGTCTATCAAGTTATCTTCACCCGTAGCTGTGGACAATCCATCAACCGGTATCTCAGGAACTAGTGCTTCCATGGGATCATTGGCCATTGTTGTACGAATTAAATTGTGAAGGAGGGCGCATGCCATTATAATGTGATTTTGTGTTCGAATAGAATAATATGAGCAACTCCTAAGAATTGCCCACCGCATCTTCAATATGCCAAAGGCACGTTCAATGACGTTTTTAACCTTAACATGGCGAAGGTTGTACAATTCTCTAAAGTTTTGTGGCCTACGGGTGCCTGCACCCCTTCCTGTAAGTGATATCTGACACCCCTATATGGCGCTAAGAAACCGGGACCGTTCGTATGCCACCATCGACCAAATAATAATTTCATGTTTAACAAATTAGATAAGGTTTGAGTTATGTCTAATTATTGATTCATAAATTGGACGGAGTTTATTCCACATAATGATTGTATTACCATTTGGAACACGTAGACAATGTGACCTAGTAATCGCATCATGCAAGACTCGACTATCTAAAGCTGAACCCTCCCATCCACATAGCATGTAGACGAAATTCATATTTCTTTCACAAACCCCAAGGACATTGACAGATGTACTACTGTTTGTCCCATTTTTGTTGCGTTTTTCGTTGTTATTTTGTCCCTCATATTGAGTCATTTAGATGGTTTTAGGATCATTTTGTCATTTATTATGTGTTTTGCGTTCATTGGAGTGTTGCGATGTTTTCCGTTTGTTTTCCGGTCTTTTTCTGTTCTCTTTTCGTTCTTGGTGTGTAGTTTGAAGACCTCGGGAGAACAGGTTTTCGAGAATCTTGTGCGGAAGCTGACACCATTAGATAGAGGGGTTCGTTAGCGACACGTAGGAAAAAATGGAACTCAATCCTGAGTTAAAACGAACCCGAACGAGCAAAAATCGTAAGATGGTGCAGTGCAGATTTTGGTCTCCACGGCCGCGACCCTTTCTTCGCCGCGGCCGCGGCGAAGAAAAGCTGCCAGGTCCCAAATTTCAGCAATGAAAATCCCGCGGCCTCGGAGCTCTCCGCGGCCGTGGAGGGCGCATTTCAACCTTTAAAACCCAATTTCTGCGATTTTTGACAAGGGGGGAGAAATGGGGGTGTGATTGAGGGGTGCCCTAGCCTAAAAACTTCCTCTCCATTCTCCATCTTCTTCCTCTCCGTTCTCCATTTTCTTCTTCCTCCTCTTCTTCATCTTCTTTCTTCTTCTTCTTCTTCTTCTTCTTCTTTCTTCTTCCACCACTTTATTTTATTTTCTTTCAAGGATTAAGCTTGTATTATGGATTCAACTCTTGGACTTGGATTGATTGTAAGTTTAATTTTTCTTTGAATTAATTCATGCATAATGGTTAATTTAGGAGAAATACTTTGTTGTGTTGAATCAATAATGAGTAGCTAATCCTTTCTGCTAGGGATAAGGGATGATTGTTCTTGATTGATTTCGTTATTATTGGGCTTTAATTTGTTCCTGCTTGTGCGAGTTGCTTTAATTAGGGTTAATTAATTCTTACTTGATAACTTGATATAATCGAAGGGTGACACTTCGATCTTGCAATTGGTATCAATTGAATGTTAATTTGTCGAGTTAGGGTTTGTTGGTTCTATATGATTAGTTGATTAAACACCTTCTAGTTGAATTAGCGACTTTTAGAACCGAAAGGGGAGAAGTCGTAGACCGAGGCTCGCATGAGATAGATGATTTCATAACTCAATAGTCTATAGGTTTTGGATTGAAATACATACTTGCCGATGACCCGTCTCTTGTTAAGAAAAGTTATTGAGACTGGGATAATAGACATGTGTTGTATGCTCGAGCTAGCTCGTCTATGTTCAATCCCTTGTTACGAAGAGTTATTGGGAGCGAACCGCTAGATGTCTAAGCGAGAGTGTCAATCTCGAACCGAACAATTGATTGCCAAGTTCTGCTTAGAACTTGAATAAATTATCCCTGATTTCCTAGCTTCTTTATCGCTTTCTAGTTCGTACTTTAGGTTCGTTTTTGTTTGTTGTTGATTCCTTAGTTGATAATATATTCCTCATTTCTGATTAGAGTGTTTAGGTTTTTATCTTCTTATTGTGTGAAATCAATACCGAAGTTAAATTCCGAACCGCCTTCCTCGAGAGATCGACCCGGGAAACGAATCCTTGATTCGATACTCGGTAAAAATAACAATTTGTGCTATAACAAATTTGGCGCCATTGCCGGGGAAGGCAAGTAGGATATTTAGTTTTGGTGTTTGATCTTATTTTCTGTGTTTCTCTTTATTTAGTATTTTTAGTGTTTTTGTTTCTTTTGTGCATATGTGTTTTTCTCTTTTGTTCTTGCTTTAGTTTTTGTCTTCTTTTCTCTCCTTTTTTTTTTCTTGGCTACGCGTGGTTGTTTGGTTCCGGTGTGCAGGTACAATGAATTTCATTCGCGGGTACTCCTCCCTGCATTACCCATCTTGGAACGACGAGCCGGTCTATTTCTCCGGGTACCACACCCAACCTTACCCGTATTCGTCCGAGCGGTGCTGGAACGATTTTCCGGTCGAGCAACCTTATGAGTCCCACGAGTTTAACGAGAAGCTCGACCAGATTCTTGATTTCATAGAGTCCAAATCAGCTCGAGAAGAAGAGGCCGCCTACAATGCCAAACTCGATCTCATCTTAGATCGACTGATGGCCCGAGCGAAACAAGAGGAGGAGATGGAGTTCAGATGTGCCCGATTGAGCGAGCAAGTGGAAAGTCTAGCAAGGTGCATCGACTCGATCGAGTCCCAGGCCCACAAGCTCGAGGTTGTGGACCCACATCCCAAGCCCGAGCATCTAAATGAGCTCCAGGACGACTCCTCAGAGTACAATGCCAAGCTCGACCTCATCCTCGATTGGATGATGGCCCGAGCAAACCAAGAAGAGGAGATTGAGCTCGGGTGTGCTCGGCTGAGCACACAAATAGAGAGCCTCACTGTACGTCTCGATTCGATTGAGGCACAAGTCGACAACCCACACCTCGTGCTTGATACTCAAGCCCGTACGATGAAGCGAATGTGTGAGGCCGAAGAAGATGATGAGCTCCAGCGAGACGTTGATGTTATTTCAGAGGAGGAGATCCATGGGCTTGATTCTCAAGTCACTCCTCCCGCTACCGAGATGGAGCATTTACCTTCGGAACCATTACACTGTGCTACCAAGTGGGCCAGATTTAGCTCGACTTGTTCCACGGATGTGCTCGTTGTCCCTGAGGTTGATGACAGAGCTCGAGTGGGAAAAGCTTTATGTCGGTACTTGGTGATTGTTCGTGCCCGAGACCACTTCATACAGAACATAGCCACCCGGATCCACTGGGCCTGCCTTCTTGCCACATTTCCTATGCTTCCACTGCTAGAGAATACGAAGGCGTGGCATGATCGCCATTTGTTTCTGGATCCTGGTTGATTCATGTACAGGTTTCGTCAAGCTAATGACGTAAAACAAGCGCTTCTTGGAAGGCAACCCAAGTGATATTTACTGCTTTCTTAGCTAATTTCGTTTATGCATTTTTTGTTTTTATTCTTTTAATAATTGGAGTTGGAGGTTTGTGGTTTTCTCTCGGACAGGACGTATCGAGCGTTGGGACGAGCGTAGACGAGTGGCTTGTACATGAACGCTTAACTCCTCGACGTTGCTTCGGTTTGCACACCTTTCTCTTTTATTTTTGTTGAGTGTATTTTGTTTTAGATTTTGTGTCGTTTTGTTGGACGCTAAATTGGTTCATGATGTGAAATTGCTAAGTTTTGATATTTGAACTTCCCGGTTATGTGTGGAAGCAATGAGGACATTGCTTCATTTTAAGTGTGGGGGAGTTTACTTGGATTTTGAATACTTATATGGTGGACCGGTCTAGTATCTAGGTTGTTTTTGTTTTCAAGCATGTGGTATTGGTGAAACGTTTGAATTGTTTGATTGATGTTTAGCAAGATTGAGAAGTTGTGACGACGGTCGTGTGGACCATGTTTTCTATATTTGCTTAAGCCTTGAATGACAAATTGCTACCTTGTGAGGTTTGAGCCTTGTTTTCTTTGCTTGTGAGTATTGGTTGTATTCTCGTATAACTAGAACTTGCCTTGAGTCTATTTGAAAGAGGTTGATTGAATTTTGAGTTGCAAAGATGACGGAGGCACTTTGTTGTTATAGCTCGTTTTGCCGTGTTCATTGACCTTTACCGAAAACTCTCCACTAGTAGCCATGTTGAGCTTAAAGCCCTTTCTTGTCAATCCGTTGATTGATTGGTGTGATATGTGGTGAATTGGTGGCATTTCGTTGAATGAGACGGACATTGGGTGCATTTGGTTGCTTAAAAAAAAAGATTACATATATATGAAGAAGAGAGCTCGCAAGGCGAGTCGGAGGATTCTGTTCCGCTTCCTAAGTCGATTAACGTTGACTAGTAATGAGCATTGGGAAACTACTATAGGGTACTTGGATGACCTCCAACGTTTAAACCTATAGAATGTTGTCCTACGACTCGTTGTTGATCGGAAAAAGCAACTCTTTAGTAAAAAAAAAAAAAAATAAAAGAAGGAAAATCTCAAGTAGTGAAGTGTAACGTGATAAGAGCATTGTGGCGTG